CGGCCATTGCACCTGGCCAATGAAGCGGGGCATCTTCCAGCCGTACCTGCAGTCAATTGGGGGCATGTGCGCAGCCCCTTGTTCGCGCGCCCTGTTGGACCAGTTGCCGATTCCCGCGATCGGAACTTCGGCCCCTTCCTGGGGAAGGGCCGCCTCGTGACGGCCGAGGGCAGGAAGGTGCCCGAATGTGGTTTTTGGTCGGTGTCAGAAGAGCCCGGCTCGAGTGGAGCACGCGCCCGTTGCCCCCTCTGGCCGGCAATTCTCCTTCGACCAGTCGGTGAAAGAAGCTGGGCCGACGTACTCGGAGGTGCCATGGTAGCAATTGTCCGAGGTGCACTCGCGCTTGACGACCGCGCGCGCGATCGTCTCGCTGTTTATCTCGCCCTCGGGATGTTTTAACGAATCCTGGATCTCCCGCGTAGAAATAAACGTCGCGCGCGACGCCCGGGCGCTGCTGATTACTGGAACGGTTGGTTTTCCGCCCCTGCCCGGCGCGCCCTTGCCTGGAAGCGCTTTGAATGGGCGCTTGCAGCCCCGCGCAGATCTGCGCGGCAGACAGCCCAACGCGCGCGCCTCTACGTCGCTGCCCTCCGGCGCCATGACGACGCGGGAGGAGCCAGCGGCGCGCTCGCAGCCGCGCGCCCGTTGCCGTCAGGGCGGCAGAAGATCGACGTCATCATCGGCAGTCCACCCTGCACACGGGGGCGCCCCTCGGACCCCGCCCTGCCTGGCACGGGTAGCTCCCCCAGGCGAGTTTCAAAGAGTCGGCCCAGCTGGCGGTATCCATGCTGGGCCCCTCGTGCGCGAGGTAGACGTTGGCCCAGCTGCCCGGGCCGATCGCGCCCGCCGGGAACTTGTCTGGTCGAAGGCCAGCGGCGGCAACGATGCAAGACTTGCCAGTGGAGCTAGGGCCCGGGGCCCCCGTTGCAGTCGCTGCCCTTGCCCGTGCCCTCTTCCGTGCTTTTCGTTTTGCTATTGCCGCCCTTCTCTCGAGCGGCCCTTTGTTGCGCTCCGTCTCGGCGCCTGCGGCGCTGCGTCTAAACCTTCTCAAAATCCGGATCTTTCCTGCCGCCTGGGGCCGCGCGCCGCGGCTCTCTTCTCCACGCGTGGGGCGCCGATTTGCATTGGCAGGGATTTCCTCGCGCTTTGAAAAGCAAAAGATGCCTCTACTGCAGGGCCCTCCTTTCCAATGTCGGCACTCCGGTGCCCACGTGGACGCAGCGGTAAAAACCGCCCCCCCCCCCCCCCCCCCGATGCCTGCTGCGGCCTGCGGCGCGGCAGCGTCGCCTAGGCCGCTGGTGGCGCCCCCGTTCGCCCTGGCAGCCGCGGCCCCACTTGCCTGCTCCTTCTGCTGAATGCACTGCCTTTTCAGGCTTTCAGTGAGAGGCGAGCCTGGGCTGCCGGCGCCCTTGCCCTGCAGCGCCAAGCACGAAAGCCCCCCCTCGGCGAACTCTGCAACTTTTCTCGCGGGGGCGACGCTGATGGCCCGCGGCGGGCCCAGGCTGCGATCCAAGGTGGCCCATCGGGGCCTCAGACACTCATCTGCGCGCGCAGACACTCCATAATATATGCTTCGCATGGCTGCACGCGAGATGGTCGCGACCGGAAGTGTCATTTCCATTTGGCGAAATTTCCGGGCAGCCGCCCAGTACTCCAGCAGCTGGTTCAGAGCAGTCTCTGCCTTCGAACAGGGCCGAGAGCCTGTGGGCCGTCTACGCGCCGACGCTTTCCCATCCGCCGCCCAGGAGAAGCAGCGCATCAAGAATGGGAAAGGAGGGCCCTGCACCTCGCCGCGGACCCCGCGGACTCCTCTCCGCGCCAGCCGCCCCTTCAGCTGCCGGGGCAGTGGGGCCGAGCGCGGGGCTTGATCCACGCGTCTGCCATTTCTGCTGACTCCTTGGCCCCGCTGCAATCCCCTCCCTGGCAATGACGGGAGTCGACAAGCATCGGGAATGAATCTCTTCAGCCAGCTCCAACGCCAGACCCACCGCGCGACCGCAGCTGGCCCGGCGGCCCCCGGGCTCTGGAACACCGCGTAGCGCAGCTTTCGGAGGTGCTCTAGGCGGTCTCGCATCGCCCCGATCTCCGACGCAGAGAATACACCCGCGCGGGCCTGCGCGGCACGGGGGATTAAACTTAGCTCGGCCGAAGAGAGACTCGTTGACATTGGGGCGAATGTCCCCCCCCCCCAGTCCTTGAGAGCCGCTGCCCTGCCCACCTGCGGGCGCCGCCCCAGCAATTGCGAAGCGTGGCTCTGGGGATGCCCCGGCGGAGCTTGTCCAGGGCAGCGGGCCACTTCCCTTGGCCCCCCACGGGCCGACCTTGCGAAAAACGAGAAGACATCATCAAGACATCGTGGAGCTTCCTCGCGCTGCGGTGCAGGCTGGGGCCGCGCCTGCACAGCCAGGCTCGGGTCCGCCGCGCCTCCCAGCAGCATGTGCCCCTGTGTCCTGACGACTCCTGCCAGAACTGCGATTTTCCCTCCTCCTTGAACCCCCGCAGGCCTAGTGTTGAAGGCCGCCAGGAACACGTCTTGGAAGGGCGCGAACCCTGGTGGTAGTGGTGAATCTGGGGTCCTTGACGACGCATTTCGTGCTGCAGCGTGGAATGCCTGCCGGGGATGTCCAGCCGCGCGCGGGACGCCAATGCTGCTGCGGTCAGGTCGCCCGGCTGCGCCTGCGCAGCCGCTGCGCCTGCGCAACCGCGCGATCGGCCAGCGCCAGCCCCTGGGGCCCCAATGAAGACGGGGCGCGCCCATGACATTGCGCCAAGACTCGCCGCCTTCTCCCGACTCCGTGTTCCCATCCTGGGGCGCGCCTCCCGAGCCGAGGTACTGCTGCGCTGACGGAAGTCCCGGCTCAGCCGCTGCTGGCTGCCCAGCGAATCTCCGTCTCGATCGTATCAAGTCGGGCAGCCATGTTAGCAAAGCCTGTGGCACCCGCATGATCAGCGCGTGTCGCAGCCACTTCAATGGACTCGATATTCTCGAGCACCTGCTCGAGGACGTCTGGAACGCAGTCGTTGGACGTCTGGGGACCCTGTTCCCGTCCAGGCGGAGGTCCGAACGCCGACTGTCCAGCGACGCCTGGGGGCAAGGGGACAACCAACGCACTTTCCTCGACCGACCGCCCCGTGACGCCCGAGGGCGGGGGGGCAGCCAGCGCCCCGTCGTCGACTGACCGCCCCGCGACGCCCGAGGGCGGGGGGACAACCAGTGCAAATTCGTTTGCTCCAAGGGAGCCCGCCAGAGGCGTAGGCGTAGGTGGTTGTCCTGCGCTCGGTGCTTCTTCTGGTCCCTTCTGCAGACTTGAAGGACTGATCCGCGCGTAGGATGTAGAACCTGGGAACCTTACGCAATCCCCAGCCCGAAAGTGCTGTAATTGACCCTTGCTCGCCGAATCGCAAGCCAAACAACGTCCTTCAATTTTTGCCCTCGCAAGGGTCATGGTGATCATGGTATTCGGTCTGTCACCAACGGAGTGCGCGCGCAACCTCCGCTTCGAAACTTGTGCTATTGGGTGTGGTACTGGAGGCGCTGGCACTTACAACGCTTGTGCTGGTGATGCTGTCGGGGCGCCGAATGGTACTGTTTGTGGTGCACGTGCCGCCTCAGTCGGGGCGTCTTGGGGAGCTCGCTGGGTGCGGTCGCGGCCCCGAGGGCTGGCATTGGCCACTGTTGCCACTGCACCGCTCGCAAAGCCCAATGCGGCTCCAGCCACGCCAACGGCAGCTCCCCCCACCGCAACCCCCACACCTGTGGAAAGTGCCAAGGCTTGTGTTGCTCTGGAGTTTCAGGTGGCCAGCTGTTCCACGTAGTAGCGTTTCCACTGCTCCCTCATCTGTTGGCCGTGCTGTTGGGGGCTGTTGATGACTACTTGCATTATGCGTTCGCCGCAACATGGGACGCCCTGCAAGCGCTCCAAGTGCAAGCAAGATGCGTGCCCGTAAGACCCACATTGGCTGCAAGTCACCGGGTATTTGACCATGGTGTGGCACTTAGGGCAATCGCACTGAAGCCCCTGTACGCGCTGACGTACTCGACGCATTGCAGTGACGTTGGACCCACTATCCTCGTATAATATAGTTGCTACTCCGCCACGCAGATAGGATCGGCGCTTATTGTCATATCAGTTCGTACAGTTCCTCTGGCGGACAGCAGCCTTGAGCCAAATAACGACGGATGATTTAGCCGTCAAGCGATGGCTGTTTTGTCACACTGGTTTTAAAGAGACTCTATACATTCATAGTGCTACGAAGAAGCATACTTCAACAACTGCAACACTTTACGGCAGTGCCACACTACGTTGGTGCATTTGATGTTCGGTTGATGGCACGAGCGGATTAGACCCTGTCGCACCGGCAGCATCGTGTCCCGTGGGCAGTCTCTGGCCGACCACAATCGCACGGGCGTTCTTTGGCCGAGCACAAACGCACGGGCGTTTTTGGCCGCGCACTGTTTCGTGTTCAATGCCAATGCCAAGATCCTGTATCGGCCGAATATTAAGATTACATATTATACACCATACAGAAGACACGACACGCTTGCAAGTGAGAATGGGCTGTGGCTACAGAGCGCTCGTCCCGTGACACCCGAGGGGAGGGGGACGTAGAGCAACCACCCGATGACACCCGAGGGCGGATGGGCGGTCCCTCAGTAGAGCAGCGTTGTGGCAACCTGCTCACTCACGAAGGCACTATGACACAACTCATGCTGAACATTTATGTCATCACATGTCTCTGGGGTCTCTCTACGCAACCCTGAGACTCCAGGACGTCAATTGATTCTTGGTGTGGGAACGTCACGCCTTCCACAGAAAAAAACATCGAAACCCAAGAAACCCAGGGCACGCAAGCAGGGTGTTTCTTGGCAAGGGCCCCCACTGTACCCATTTGGATTGTCCGATTCTGGCTCTCTCTGCACTCCGCAACCACGCCGCACGCGGGGCACGGACCGCGCCGGCGCGGCCCACGCTGCGAGAGGAACGGCGCGCAGGCCGCGCCTGCGCCGCGGTGGCGTCCGAAGCCGCCAAGAAAGCGACGCCGCTGGCGTCGGGTTCCACCTCGGGCGGGCTCGGGGGGGCCTGGGCGCCTGGACGAGGAGGCCGCCAATCGGCGGCGAGCTCAGCGAGGAAACGAGGGGCTGCGGGCCTCTCAGGGGGCCTCGCAAGGCCTCGGGCCTGCTGAGAGAGAAGTGTCCTAGGCCCTCACCGAAGGCAGAGACGGCTTCTCAGAAGGCGCGAGGGCTTCTGAGAAGCCCCGCCGTCTTCTGAGAAGGCTGGCCCCCTCTCACTTCCCCCCTGGGCTCGCCGCCGAAACGGGGGGGGGAGGCAACCAGGACCGACTGCAGATACGAGAGCTGCGCACGTGCACCGCACCATGTCTGCACTCGCTACAGGCCACGCTCCACAGCGGTACGGTGCATAGTCCTTTGGCTCCGAGGGCACTTGGATGAGGAGACGATCGGGAGACGATCTCCGACCAGACTGCAAATCTTACCGATAGACAACTGGGACGAAATGCACAAACTGCCCCCCGCCGCGCGTGGAGAGCCGCTCTGCCGAGGGACACTGGGAGGTCCATCGGGCCAATTGGCCTTCCCATTCTTGGACGAGACAAGGCGCTTGGATGAGAGGCCGCCAGCGGCAACTGGGAGGCGGGGGGCAGCCAAGGCCGGCCGTGGATACGAAAATGGCGCGCATGCAGAGCACTGTGCCTGGACGCCCTTCAGGCCGCGCTCCATCGCGGTACGGTGCAGAACTCTTTGGCTCTGAGGGCAGAAAAAAATGTGCACCGTACCATTCGGAGGTCGAGGATCGCTGGAGGCCTAAAGGTTGACACTAACACCTATGTCGATGATGTGCCTCCACCGGGGGAGGATGATCCCGATCTCGGTGATGGTGGTGTTGTTCTGGCTTCCTGGGCGGCCGACAGATTACCACCAACACCAAAATCTGGAATCATCTTCACCAAATGGAGACAACTTCATGTATTGGTGTTGGTGCCCATATCCATGTCGCCAAGATCGGTACAGTGTTGACGCGGCCGCAAGAAACAGTCGCAAGAAAACCAGCCCTGAAGTCCCGCGCGAGAGGTGCGGTGCTTGGGGGGAAGCCCAGGGCACTCTGAACGCAGCAGCTTCTTCAACGGCCATGACAAGTCACCGCGCAGCGCGAGGAGCGAAGACACCCAGGGTACCCTGACGAAAAGCATGTGATTTCTTCATGCGCGCCCCCACTATACCATTCCGAGGTCGAGGATCGACGACGCCTTGGGGGACGCCAGCGCGGTGCGGTGCACACACGGCGTCCGCGAATGCAGACGGCGCCCGAGGGGTACAAGCTCTCTTCCGAGGGGCGACCCGCGCGCCGGAAACACGGAGGGGGCCTTGAGACGCCACAGTCAGGGAGTAGTGTGCTGCTGAATTTGCAGGGTCGGCCTGCTGCAGAAGAGTTGGATTGGAGAGTCAACGCAAGAGGGCTCAAGACCCCTCCGAGGGCCACGTTGCCACAAGAATGTGGAGGACACGAGTCGCGAAACAGCAGGACACCAAAGGCATGCTTGGTTTGGAAGAATCTACCTACGAGCCGAAGTCGACCGTAATCAGGCCTGGTCGTAGGAGAACCAGGCCGAGGAGGGGGGGGGAGGAGGAGCAGGGGTTGCAGGAGCAAGAATGGGGCAGGGCAAAGATCACGAGCAGGAGAAAGACAACAATGAGGGACGGGGCAGGGACCAGGAACAGTAGCACGACCGAGAAGGAGACGGAGGGGAAAGGTGCAGGGAAGAAAGGGGCTGGACAGACAAATTAGCCCGGCGAGGGACCCACCAGATGCAGCTGTGAATACCCAAATCGTGAGTATCGTCTTCGGTGGGGCTCCCCATGGGTAAACGAAACGTGTGAGGTGTGTGTGCGTGTGTGTGCGTGTGTGTGCGTGTGTGTGCGTGTGCGTGTGCGTGTGCGTGTGCGTGTGCGTGTGCGTGTGCGTGTGCGTGTGCGTGTGCGTGTGCGTGTGTGTGTGTGTGTGTGTGTGTGTGTGTGTGTGTGCGTGTTCATTGAAATCTTGCCGGCGCTTGACGCTTTGGGCGCTTGTCGGACGATCCGCAAAGCAAACATCTGCGAGAACCTGATGGCGTCTGGGAGAATTGGGATCTGGGACAATTCGGAAGAATCTGGAATTCGCCGGCCCAACGGGCCAGGGCGTGCTAAGATCTCCGGTAACTGGTTAACAGTATTAACAGTATTTCTAGTTCGCGCGCGCGGGGCGGCCCCTGGGGGTCCCCCGGCGAAAAGTACCCCGACCAACGCCCGGTCGCCGCCCGACCGCCGCCCGACCAAGTCTACTCAGAGATGGTTTTCCTTCTGGGTGCGGCCTCTCAGGCTCCCCAGAGCGCGCTCAGAGTGCCCCAAGAGGCCCCCAAGACTGCCCAAGAGGCCCCCGAGACGCCCAAAGAGCGCTCGAAGACGCCGAAGATGACCCCAAGACGGCCCAAAAGGCCCCCAAGACAGCCCAAGAGGCCTCCAAGACGCCCCAAGAGCCTTCCAAGAGGCCTCCGAAGAGAGCCCCAAGAGGCCAAAATCGTTGATTTTCATTGGTTTTTTCGATGTTTTTTGTGTTCTGGCTTTTTCGGCTTCCGGACGCTCCAAGACGGCCCAAGAGGCCCCCAAGACCGCTCCAAGACGGCCCACGAAGCTCCCAAGACGGCGCCGAAACGACCCAAGAGAGCCCTCAAGACGGCCCAAGTGCCGCCCAAGACGGACCAAGAGGCCCCAAGACGGGCCCAAGAGGGACTCAGGAGGGATACCGAGAACTCAAAAATGGAGCCCTCCGTCCCAGAAGGCGCCCAGGAGGTCCCAAAGAGGCCCCAAGAGGCCTCCAAGAGGCCCCAAGATGTCGCCAAGAGGCCCCAGGAGACTCCCAGGAGGCCCAAAAGAAGCCCCAGAAGGCTTCAAACATGTCTCCCAGGCGCCCCCGAACGGCCTCTCAACAGACCCCAAGAGGCCCCCCAAAGAAGCATCTTGACGACGACTCTATTTCGCCCCATCGAGAGACGACCCCCAGGGAACTGCTTCACCATCAAAACTCCCCACGCAACGCGTCCGAACGACACCCGCCCCCAAGAGCGCAACATGGGCAACGAACACACAGACAAAAACCAGCGATGCCATATCACGGGCCGGCGGAATGAGCGAAGCGATTCAATAATCTCGGAGAAACAATCATCCCCACCATCATCATCATCATCATCATCATCATCATCATCATCACCACCACCACCACGACCACCACCACCACCACCACCACATCATCATCATCATCATCATCATCATCATCATCATCATCATCATCATCATCATCATCATCATCATCATCATCATCATCACCACCACCACCACCACCACAATCATCATCATCATCATCATCAGCATCATCATCCCCCGTCCTCCTCCTCCTCCTCCTCTTCCTCCTCCCCTCCTCCTCCTCCTCTTAGTCCTCCTCCTACTCCTCCTCCTCCTACTCCTCCTCCTCCTCCCCTCCTCCTCCTCCTCCTCCTCCTCCTCTTCCTCCTCCTCCTCCTCCTCTTCCTCCTCCTGCTCCTCCTCCTCCTCCTCTTCCTTTTCCTCCTCCTCCTCCTCTTCCTCCTCCTCCTCCCCGTAGCCATTTTGGCTCAAGATGACGACCTGGGGGGCTGTCCAGCCTCCAGGCCGAAGGGAGACCTCTGGACCGAGGACAGATCCCAGACGGGCGTCGGGCGCGCGCGCGGCACCGCTGCAGCCATGGGGAGTGGCGGCGGCGGACGCGGGGCGGGCAGCGCCTGGTCGGGGACCCCGAATCGCCAGAGGGTTCCCCCGTGGAAGAGGAGCGGCAGTGGCAGTCGCCTTCCTCGCAGCAGCTACGTGGTGTGCGACGGGTGCAGCAGATGGCGCTACTGCAAGAATATCACCAGCAGGGGCGACCCCTGCATCTGCGGCAAGAACCTCGCCTGCCTCGTCCCCGACGGTCATGTCTTCCGTGAAGACGATGGTGGGTGGCTGGCAGCACAGCCCCAAGGAGGAACCTCGCCCAGGACCAGCTGGGCAAATGGTTGGCAGCCAGGTGGTGGCGCAGGCGGGAAAGGACAAGGAGGCCAACGCCAGCCACCACCTCACGACAGGACAGTCGACCTCAAGGCTGCCGCCGCAGCAGCTTACAGCAAACTCAACAAGGACGACCCGCCCAGGCAGCACTACGAGGCCCTCTGGCCAGAGCTCGCCGCAGCCAAGCAACCAGCAGACCAACCAGTCGTTGGATTCAAGGCAGTGGAGGCAGCTGCTCGACGCTTGGACAAACTCCAGAAGAAAGTGCGATCGGCAGGGGGCAAGTTGAGAGTGCCCAGCAGTACTTGGCTGAGAGTGAACGCAAGCTTCGTAAAGCCATGGAAGCCTCCATTGCAGCCGAAGATGAGTTCGACAAGCTCAAGGCCACAGTCGGCAAGCAAGAGACACCAGCTGAACCTGCAGCCGAGAAGCCAACTCTGACAGCCCTCCTGGAGCAGTTCGAGCACGAGCCTGACGACTTCCACGAGTGGTCCGAGCCAGACAAGAAGGTCTGGCGGGCAGCAAAGGCCAAGGGCGAGCGGATGGCCCAGACGGCCAAGGAGCACGAGGAGGAGACGGCGAAGCACCTGCGACTGCTGGAGGAAGAGACGGCCAGGCACCAGGAGCAGCTGCGCCAGCTCGAGCAGGCCCGCACCAAGCGCCTGCCAAAGAGCGAAGAGCAAGACCCAGCAGTAGCAGGAGCTCTACCAGGCAAGCGAGTCTGCGCCGCCAGCCCAGCCCCTCAGCGAGGTGCCACCGCATGCGCTGAGGCAGCAGGGACTGATGCCGCGGCTGCGCCCGCGGGCGCCGCAGCAGCTGCCCAACCTGAAGCAGGTGCAGCAGAACATGACAAAGCAGAAGAACGCCGAGCCAGAGTGGAGGCCCACATCCAGGAGGCGCGAGAGAAGGTCTCGCAGGCAAGGCGCGCCGAGACAGTCGTCGACGCAGAAGGGCAGGGTGGCCACTCAGCAGGGTAGCCGCCCCAAG